CCAAAACTTTTTTTTTTTTTTTTTTTAACGAGGTGTCCTAGCTTACGCCAGACTATATCCTCGTCCCTGAACTTTCGGCCCCTCAGCAGCTCAGGAAGGTAAATCGCGGGATGTACTCAAGTTGACCAGGGTTCGAACAGCCTTTATACTCCTGACCCCAAGGGAGCCTCCTCCATGGTTATTATATCACCAAACTGCTCCAACCCTTCCTCTGGTTATTACAACACTCTGCTGCTCCAACCAAGAATCGAACTCTCCACGCTGAGATTGCGAGCCCCGCACTGTCCTTCCTTTGCCAACTTGGATGTGCCCCGGGGGGCTACTGGCTCAAAACTTAGGTCTTATGGTAGATGGACAAACTTGGATTTACTCAAGAGTTACAAGAGTATGTTTGATATGTTGAATCGAATATAATGAATAAAATTAAAAGAGAGTCATGTGTAGTATTGTCTGATCTAACATATCAAATCTGCATTAAATTTAACATGTTTGGCTTTGCTTCTTTTGAAGAAGTAGCTTTTCTTGATGATATTATCAAAGAAGGATGCAAAATGAGTCTTTAAATTAATCCAGTTGACCTACTAGAGACGTTTCAATAGGGAATGAATACTTTGAATTGTAAGTCCACTGCATTTGCTAGGCAACTTCAATTCTAGTTTGGATATCACGATAAAAAACAAATGCTGCAAACTCGAGTCCAATTTGTTGGAGTTTAATATAAATAAGTTAATTGGCAAACTCAAACTTTTATACCTAAAAATCAAGAATTGATCATCGTTGGTTTCCAAGAAGCTTCCAAGTGTCGTCATCGTACACGACGGGATTAAGCCCATGTTTGATCCCCATTAAATTAAATTACATTACATTACATTACATTCTATTTTTATCTCTCTTATTTTCAACCACTCAATCTTCCATAAAATAATATTACACGTACATCGAAAACTTTTCTTTCTTTTTTAATCACTCATTTTTCAAAAAAATACTATTATCTCTATTTTCATTTTCAGGTAATGGAATCAAACTGGGCTTAAGTTGGGTGGGTGAAGTCGTGATGAACTGAGTGGGCAGTTTGAAGTTGGAGGCAAAGCCAAGTGCTAATCATTCATGTGGTGAGGGATGCTCACACGAGTCAGACCAAGGGTCCACAAACAACACGCGCATGACTTGACCCTTTGGACTCTTCTGGCCTTCAAGTGTCAAAATTACTTTAATTGTGACAGTTTATAATATAAAAATTGAGACCAACTCTAAAGATAAAATGGTGAAGTAACCTATTACATGGAAACACGAGATGTATATATATATATCCATTCGTTTTGAGAATTACATAAATTACATCTAAAATTTGTTTTACACACATAATTCCATTTTACACCATTTTTGCAATCACATCAAGTTTTCAAGAATTATCAGTTTGAGAGAGTATACTAATTTCTATTTTAGAAGTATACACAATGATAGGAGACTATGGTTCGTCGCAGAGATCTTTCTCCTCTCCTTTCAAGTCATTTTCATTACTAGAGTTCGTCTCTTTGAACCCGTCTGCGATTGTGTAAATAGATAAGATTCAAAATTACAAATTAAAGTTATTTTCACAAAGTACATATTTACATCTAAATAACCCTTACAAAATTAAAAGATATATATATATATATATATATATATATATATATAT